TAACATTTAAGTTTATACCCATACAACAGACATGATTTTTTTTGGCGTTTTTATAGATAATGGGTACGGACCCTTTGTGCGCAATTCTCGCACTCGCACTTGGCTGGTTTTTACTTTTACGTAGGAGGCTTTGTAAATTGGCATTCTTAATTTTAATATTTGTAAAGCAAATTGCCCCTTTTCGATGGGTTACTACGGTAGGCAGTGGTAAAAATATTATCAGATGGATAGTTTAGACTGATTCCTTTTTCCTAATTTCTTAGCTTTTATGACGTCAACGCAACGATTACTGTCATCGCGTAACAAAAAATAAACTGCACAGACTAACAAGGCAACGCGTACAGTGCAATAAAAATTCAGAGATGGAGGGACTCTAGGCAAGTACTAAATAAGACGTCTACGCCTCCATTCCGGTGGTGATTTGTGGCCTTTGTTATTCTCCATTGTGGCGCACAGCATTGTTGCTACTGACAGCACGGCGCGGTGGTAATATGGTAACACGGTACGTGTTACGTCTGCTTTGTTAACCGGTAGGGTTGAACAAAGTAGCATAATGTAGATAAAGGGAAATGTCGTATCTTCTTATCGTGTAGGGTTGGTAGTTACTGGATGTTTTAGTTGATATTTTTGTTATTAAAAACTCGTATCTTTGAAGGCGATAGCTTTATTAAGTAACAAGCGAAGAATAAATATACTTGATTTTCTTTATTTAATAAGTAATAAAAAAATTGGGTGCACTTCACGGTTGTAGTGCATGTCCATAAGTTATGCACTACACCTGAGATGAGGTGAGCTGAGATTACCTCACTTACCATGCGAGAGGAAATGTTAATAATTCAGGTCTACAACTACCTACTGCGAGGCCTTGGTACATCCCCAGACTATTACCTTACCCAAATTTTTTTTTTTTTTAATGCGAAAAGTTGTCAAACGAGCAGACGGTTCATCTGATGTTAAGTGAATACCGCCGCCCATGGACATCTGTTACACTCGAGGGTTACAGATGCGTTGACAACCTTTTGAAAATTGGGCTCCGGCTACCTCACTCACCAGACGAAACGCGAAAGTATTTGTCATACTTCCACTTTACGCCGGTCTTCTGTGAGGTCGTGGTACTTACCCGGACGGGCCTGCCCATTCGTGCAACAGCTGAGGCTGCTGCGTGGCCCTACCACCGTAAGGTATCCAAATGGTACCGTAAACATAAATTGAAATCGTCATTGTCAAATTATGAGATAGTAATAAATATGAAAAATAAACACCGAATGTTGAATATTATGAGGTTCGAATCCTGGACATAATCCTAAATCGTAAATCATCTTATAATCTTAGATTATGAAACTACATTTCTAAAAAGAATATAATGGCCTATGTATATATAAACCTATATATGACTTCCCTCTCTGCAAGTTTCAATTTCAAAGTCACAAGTAAGTGAAATTAAAGAACTAGGTGTCATTTTATGCACAAAAAACTAACGAAAATAAAAAAATAAACAATTATCATAAGTCCATAAGCGGAAAAATCATTTAAAATCCATCTCATTCGAATCGAACAATTCGTGTCTATAACTGTCCGTGAAAAACGAATGAAAATAATTTAAATAAAGAATGGAACGACACTGGTGAACGGGAATATATGCACACGCCACGTTGCCAACCGAATAAAAATAAATCAGGCCTGATTTATTCTGGCAGCATTGTCGCATGGCGCGGGCTCGTTTCGCGCCAACGCGTGTGCAATACGGAACTCCTCGGGCATTTCCGGATGCAGCACTCAAGGTTTGCCGCCATTTCAGAGAGATGAAGCACAACAGATTATTTTCAACCATGAACGCGCTTATTAATCCCAGCTATACGCAAAGAAATTAAGGGATAAACTCTCGACATTAAACAAGAGATATTTTTAGATCGGTATATTGTTAATTATAGTGTGTTGGCATTATAATTAAAATTTATAACATTAGTGGAAAACACTCGAGAAAATGATATACCTACATATTTTTCTATAGAAATAAAATTCTAATGTTTCCATATCACAGTCTTCTTAAACGATTATGACTTAATCGTAATTCAAATCGCATACCGTCCGGTCCCTGGCCCGGAAATTGAATCCCGGCACCATCTCAGGATAATGTCGTTTGTCCCGGGCCTTCAAACTGACAGCTGTCAAAATCTTTCCAGTCATTTCAGTGTTAAAGAGCTTCTGTAGTAAAATCCAAAGCAGAGTTTCAACGTAAAATTTTTCAAATATGAGCTAAATTATTAAATAATTAAGTAAATAATACATGAAAAGCTGTTATATATAGCAATTCGACAACAGGGACATATATTCGGCTGGCAAGCATTTGACAACTCTTTTTCTCTACGTATAGTTAACAATGGCTATCTTTACATGGGTTGCAAGCCAAGTCTAGGAATCATTTCTAAATCAAATTTAACGTACAACGTCACTACTTCTGTAAAAACGAAACCGACGCACAATATTGACACAACATCATCTGAAGATTAATCATAAATAAAGTCTAAAGCGAACGATAACATAACAGTCCGATATTAAATTTACCAACAGACTTCCAAAGTGACTTTCTACATAAAACTAAAGCATCTTTGGAATAGAAACTTAAAAATCAATTCGTGACCTCTCTCTTCCGAGATAGATCGGTAATGATAGCGCTTTGCACTTCGTTGTTTAGATGGCCGAGACATTATATAAGTGCCCATCGAGCCCCTATCAATATTACCAATAAATTGTTCGCCATATTCCGCAGTATCAATAGATAAAGTCCTAATATCGACCCGTGTATGCTCTGCCTTGTGCTAACAAAGTGTAGAGCATTTGTTCCGTTTAATTCATTTTTTATCCGGTCTCTTAATAAGTTTCGCCGACGTTTAAATAACTGAGCAAATGGAAACCCTACGGAAAACTTCTTCGCGTATGATTTAATATATAAACTGAAATAAATTCTATAATTATGAAAAATTCGCCTGAAGTTGAGTGATTACCGCTGCCCATAGACATTTACAACACTTAGGGGTTGTAGATGTGTGCCAGCCTACAATAATTAATAAAAGCGACTACAATATTAAAAAAAAATTTAATACATACATTTTGGCCCCAAAGACATTCAAATTTGTTTCTTAAAAATTTATAGTAACCTTACCTTAACTTACTAAATGCAAAAAAAATATAAATGTGACGTAAAGTTGCACTCGCAGTATTAAAATCTAAAATAGTTATTAACAAATTATAATAACTGTACAAATATTATTCAACTGTTTTGAATTACAATAACATGTAACTGAATATGAGACTTCTAAATATGATAAAACTTAACCATACAAAACGCCTTTGACGACTCGTTTGGACAGCAATGAAATACAACGTCATTAATAACATAACTTCATTAAAATACTTTTGTTTCCATATTGGCATTATACAACCGTTCGCGGTTACGAACTTTTCTGCCACATACGCTATAAAGAATCAGTTTTGGCCACTGGTGTTTCCGGATCGGTACTACTTACCAAAAAGGTTTTTCAAAAAAAAGCATCTGTACTTTCCCGGAGAACCAAAAAATCAGTAAAAATTACCTAGTGTTGAGAATATTCATTGAGAACGGTTACGTACCATCATCTAAACCAAATGCTCGTTTGTTACTTAATCATAACAAAAAAACCCCAAGTGCGAGTCGGACTTACTCACGAATGGTTCCGTACCATTATCTTTAAAAACGGCAAAAAAAATATGCCCCACCAAAATATATTTTTATTCCGTTTTTTAGTATTTTTTGTTATAGCGGCATCAGAAATACATCATCTGTGAAAATTTCAACTGTCTTACTAATCTACTATAATTACTATCATGGTTCATGAGATACAGCTTGATGATAGGCGGAAAGACTAGTAATAGGGTTTTACCCTTTGGGTACGGAGCCATAAAAATAAGATGTTTTGTCACCAGCTACACTGTGAATTATTTAAACGGTCAGCAAGACGACTCAGGAATAGGTTTGGGTTGCATAAAGATCCGTCTCCATACTTGGCCAGAGTAATGAAGACGTAGTGCCCAGCACCACGCCCACACCAGGCGGGTAATTGAGTCATTATAGTACCGCGCATACCCCGCTCTCCCGCGATCGAAGATCAACCGATATACCGATACCGACATCGGACCTCGGGTATTACGGAACAAACTTTAATGCCGGGCGAGATGCGAGCATGGATTTCGTCCGTACCATAAATTATCGCGTAATTATTTTGAAACGATAACTTTTTAAGACAAACGTTCTGATTATCATAATAAACTCGCGATCGTGGATGGGTTCCCCAAGTATTTTGTATTTTAAATCAATCTGATGACAATTAATGTATACTTTATTACATACAGACCAGTCCTGCAATGTTTGTTAGAGACATGTGATGTATGCTTTCTATTGTGGCAGAGCCACGCACCACCTTCTTGCTGTTGCACGAATAGGCAGGTTCGTCCGGAGATGTTCAACTGGTGAGTGAGGCAGCCGGAACCCACTTGAAGTGGGAAACGCATAATATGTAACCCGTTCGCTAACTTGCCAACTTTCCACAAAAACAAAGAAAATTTGATTACGGCTAAAAAGTATTGTTCAATCCTGTCGGACTATGTCTTGTTGAAATCTGATGGAAAAAATTTTTGCTATAAGGTATAAGCAATATTTACCTACGAAAATTTGTTCATACCAAATGTAGTATGGTTAATTCAAAATCAGCTCTCTTTTCACATTTTGAATGTATTACCAATTATCAAATATATTCAGTGCATCCACATAACATACAAAATTAAATTAAAAATATCATTCCGATTTTTTATAAAGACCATGCTGGCAGCTTGTAGATTATAAAAGAAAAAAATTTGACATTACTTAAAAATACCAGTGATGGCGCTACAGTTTCAGAGGTTATTTAAGAGGTTATCTTAAAATATATTTGCGTTTAACGGATATCTGATAAAGCGAGTCAACGATGGCCGACGAGCCAGCGCCAGATCCTGCGCCGGAACCGGAACCACAACCAGCACCACAAGGTGCTCCTGAAGGCGGGCCACCACCGGCCGACGCACCGCCCGATGCACCGCCAGCCGCCTTGCCCCAAGCCAAGCATGTCCCCGATTACTTCCCCATCATCGTCACGACGTGCTGTTTCGGTGCGCTGTTCATTATATTGCCGCTGCTGGTGCGGAAAGGGCCGCATAGAGGGTGAGACATACCACGGATAATATGTACCGTTTGGACTTTGTGAGGTATTCGAAATATTCAACTTTTGATTGGAAAGGCGATAGAATCCGTTAGACACTTCCACATCAAAATGTGCGGTATTCGCGTAAACACAAAATTATCGTGATTTAATCCGATAGATTCGACCGCGTGTCCTTATTAGTATAACTATCCAGGTAACTTAGATTCTCTTAATGAAAAAAGGGCAACACTGTACCGTATTTGATTAATTGTTTGTCTTTTATAAATGAATCGCTGTAACATAACTAAAACATATTTTATTTTATATTTTTCCTTGAACGTTTCAATAATCAATTTTGGCCTTTTTTTTTCTTTACAATCTGGCCACGCGCTTATTTCATATACTATAAATATTTTTAATCGATAGAAAATCTTAACCGAAACAATTATTAGGAAATAAAAATTTATTCGAGTCGACATTTAGATTCAGACAGAAAAAAATTTTTAGAAGTAAGCCGTTACGTTGCGTACAAATTATTTTTTTCCAATAAGTAACGTGCCTCTAGAAGAATATATTACTGTTCATTCAATTTGTTATTGGATTTCAACAGATAAATCGTATTTTTAGACAGAAAGTTTCTGATGCCACTATCATGATGATTTCCTTCTTATTGTTCCTTCATAAGAAATTGATTTACCCTCGCCAATATATCGTATAGATCAGTGATTCTCAACCTTTTTTTCGTTGCGGCACATATTAAACGATTTCAAAATTTGGCGGCACACAAAGAAAAACATAAAAATTATTTACTTACTACAACACACTGCATAAATAGTTTATGACAAAAATTTTAAATATACGAAATAAACTAATATATATTACAATAATAACTAAACGTTTATAACGTGTAACGTAAGGGGTTAATTACAAGCTAATAATAAAAATATTTTTAATGCGAAATTTGAGCTTGATGTTTTTTGATAATTTCATTTATATTTGGTCGTAAAATATCGTCATCTACATTTAACAATCTTGATCTTTTTATAGTTTTAATGTTGGCTAATGCCAAAAAATATTTTTCTTTTTAAATGATATAATTTAATAATATTAACATTATTATATATTTGCAAAATTTGGCGGCACACTTTTGAAATTTGGCGGCACACAAAAGTGCCGCGGCACAGTGGTTGAGAATCACTGGTATAGATGGTCGAGACTAGGAGATCGACCTGCGTTGATAATAATTCTCGAGACAAACTTCTAGAATACTTTATCGTTTCTCAGGTTAGCCAGATGGTGCATCATGCTGTCCCTTTTCTGGGTGTGGCTTTTGTGAGTTTTCTGTTCCATTATAATCTAATGTATCGTGCAGATGCTAAACATCTTGTACCGCCGGTTGTAGCTTCAATTGTAACAAGGTTTAAATCTTTTAATGACGTCTGCTAAATATTTTTTTTTATTGGATTTCTTATTGATTAAGAAGTATCCCACCATACCATTGGGTGCCGATTCAGCCATTAATGATAAACGCACTTGTCTTCAAGGCACAAGAACTTGAAGAAAATACATGCATTACTTGCGTATAAAACAGCCCCACACCTCTGACTATTGTACAGAAAAGCGATTCGAAAAAAAGTTACAAATGCTGGGCACAATTCGATGGCTTAAGAATAACGATCCATGGCTTATCCACTATAATATGTATTTTTTTCCGTTATGAGCAAATCGACGAAATATTTTTAATGAGACTAATCTGAAAACGTTAGTGATTCACTCGATGGTGAGTAATTAGCGTCGGCCACCGCAAAGTTCCAGTTTCAGTAGCATTGCCTACACATTTTTTTACATGAGAAGATGGCAAGCGAGCTGGCGGTTCACCTGATGTTAAGTGGTTAATGGTTGCAGATGCGTTGCTTCCTTTTAATAAATTAATGGTGTACCTCCGATACCCCACTTAATTAGTGGATAAATGCAAAAGTAGGCACTCATAAATATTCTAAAAGGCCTTTATAGTTTCCCGGACAAGTTGGCAACAGATACGCGACTGCGTGATACTTAACACATTACAAAATATTATCCCACAGGTGACAATAGGAATAGAGAATAATACGTCTTTTTATAATTATTTTGTACAATTATTGAACTGTGGTAGAGCCACGCAACAGTGTTCGCTGTTGCACTAATGGGCAGGTCCTTTCGGGTTAGCACCACAACCTCACAGAAGACCGGTATGAAGTAGAAGTGTTACGCTTCTGCAATTCGTCTGGTGAGAGGTAGCCAAGGTCCAATTTATTAAAAGGTGGCAACGCATCTGCAACCCTACAGGTGTTGCAAATGTCTATGGGCGGCGGTTATATCAGGTGAACCGCCAGCTCGTTTGGCACTTTTTCACATAAAAAACAGACATTGATAGTTTATCAGTTGAAGGGTGGCATTGATAATATTTCCTCCCACATAATAGATCATTCCTATAGGACGGTTTTGATGAGCAATTGGAGGCCATCAGGCTCGAAAATCAACAGAATCAAATACCATGACCTTCACCCGATGGTAAAGTATTACCTCCATGGCATCCACAACACTTGTGAGAATCGAATATATATACATATATATATTTATATATATATAAACTTAAAGTTGTTTATAATTTTCAGCTGGGTGACAGTTTACATAGCTCAGTTGAATCCCATAATGGGACCGAGGATGCACAACACCACACTCGCGTGGATAGCTTATAAGATTGTAAGCAAACAACACATAATAAATTGATTACCTGTCAGTCTTTCCGCTTCGTGGACTCACGGCCTTATGATTAAGAACTAGACCAGTAGAGGATGGATTTTTAAATGGTGAATGACGGATGGATGAACTGTACTGTTTTGTTCACCCTTTAACTACATTTCATTCATCATTTTCATTCTTATTTATTTCATTATATCGTAATGATATCTGTAACGACGTTTGTAAGGAAACCTACATATTTTCGCAATAATAAGAAAAAAAAACCTTACGAAAATATGTGAAGTCCGCCAATCCGCATCGGCAATCGACTGGTGGACTATGGCTTGGGACATTTATATAGGCAGGTTACATTACTTTTACTTAATTCTGGCTATTTTCTAGGGAAATCCCATAAAGTCCCCTGCTCATTCCGACGAGGGGGAACTGGAGGCGTTTTAAGAGTAAGCAAGCACGAAATGTCTTCAGCAGCGAGTAATAAAATGTGTGTATAACTGTTTCATTATCAAATCATGTGTTCCCTTTTACACTTGCAGACCTATTGAAGGTTCCATTGGATTCAGGATCCGTATGAACCCAAACACTTTATCCTAAACCGAAACCTAACATGCTTATTAAGTATGCACTTACTTCATTTGTTGTTTTACTAACAACATCTAGTTAATTTTTCTACCAACAATCGGTTAATTTGTTTATCTACCAACAGTTATGTAATTTGTTTCTTTAACGCCGTTAAGATTTTCGTCGCTGTGGCTATCAGCCGTTTAGCTCAGTGGCTAGAGCGTCAGGCCGCGAATGCCGAAGTCGTTGGTTCGATTCCCACAGCGGCGACAATCTTTTCGTACATGTTTTAATGTTCAATCTTAAGTGCAGAGATTAGCACTATAAAAAACTTTAAAATTGAATTTGTTTCTTTATCAACAAATACGTAAATTATAATCGATCAATCGCTTTAACAACCAATATGTACAAAAAGTTAAGAACGATCTGGCAAGCTTTTCCGCAAGTATATGATATAGCACTTAACTATTGGAGGTTTACAGAGTCGAAACTTCAACAAGCAATAATTATCTAACAGTTTACCATAAAATAATTATCTATCCTATCTTTTATTTAATATATTAGAGGGTGTTCTATAAAAAATATATTGCAAACAAGCAGGTCACAGGAGAAGGTACATTAAAAATACTGCAAGCGCAGTTTTTCTAATTTGTATTGAAACACCCTATTCAGCGAATATTTAAAATAATTGATTAAATTCTTGCTTGCAGGGTATAAGAATGGAGCTGCTTGCTGTATGAATTAAATAAAGTGTATGAATTTTAATATTGGAAAAAGAACAATTAAAAATATTGACCTCCATTTATTTACATTTTTAAATTTAGTTAATTCATTACGGTGAAACATTAATGTTTATGGAATTTAATAGATTAACTAACAAGAAATACATCTAATATATAAAATTCTCGTGTCACGGGGTTCGAACTTGAACTCCTCCGAAACGGCTCGACCGATTTTTACCAAATTTTATATGCGTATTCAGTAGGTCTGAGAATCGGCTACTATCTATTTTTCGTCCCCCTAAATGTTAAGGGGGTAGTCCACCCCTAAATTTTTTTTTTATTTTTTATATAAAACTTTTTGTTTCTATTTGATTATGACACAGCACACAAAAATACATACAACCCTAAATTTTCACCCCTCTACGCAGACGTAGTCGCGGGCAGCAGCTAGTTGACTTATGTAATGTTTAGAGTTAGTCACTCAACTTACAAGGAACGTGGCGAGGGATTTTTTTGCTAATAATAGTATCCCTATCACTAGTACGGCTTTCTGATTTCCCATGTCTTAGTTTTTTTTGTTGCTATTATGATTTCTTCAATAATGGGACCCGTTAACAAGGAACTTACGTCGGCAATGAAATTTCTAGTTTAATACCGAAAATCATACTTTATCCCTCAAAAATGTCTTGAACAATAGTGAAATGACTACGGCTCTGTATCCACATGTCATGTCATGACGTGCCGTGCATCATCCCTGGCATCAAAGAGATTATTGTCGGTTCTCTACGCCGATTTAAATTAGTGAACCAGGTAGATTTGATTTTACAAGAGCTTTAAGGAAACCCGATTTTAATGAATGAAATATTTGATCTGGTATCGGATGTGCAAATAGACAAAACAGTTAATAGTAATTATTGATTTTTGTGGCCGAGAGGCTTGAATGTTATACAATGTGTGTCTCCAATTACTGTCACAATATTGGACTTTTAAAATGAAGCTTAGATTTGTTCATCGTATTCAATTCCAACAGTGGAGTGTAATATACACTCCAACACTTACTCGTCGAGATCGCCAAAAATAAAAATAACACCACGACAATTATGAATAACAAATAAGTCCCTATACGTTTCACGTCCCTACTATACGTTTTAACAACTAAGACTAGCTTTATTAAAACGACAGAAGTGTTCAATTCAAATTAAAATTTAAACTAAGATATTTAATATTTTTTAATAGATATGAGTGTAATTGTGGTTTCATTAATTTCTTTTTTCTCTATTTCTTTTCGATTTGGTATTTATTGTTATTAGATATATACATTGTATGTAAATCTACATACTCGTATGTAATTTTAGTAAGCATCTGCTCAAAATCAGCAAAGAACTTTACTCTGGTGACACTGGCTTATACTTTTGTTTGTATTTCGTTTTAAGTCTTTTTTTTTTGCTAGACAAGATTATTAGACAGTTATTTACTTAGAAGCTATTTTTATTATTGCTATTTTAATTCTTATTTTTGTCAGATTAAGTTATTGTAGATATAAATGGTGTGAGTGTAATTTTACATGTGCGTTTCGGAAACAGTTCTGTGTTATAAGTTGACTCAATACCAGGCACAATTAATACCAGGTGCATCACTTGGTGTCTATTTTTAACAAAAAAAAGTTACGAATTACGTGTGCTAAGAGGCAAACCTGGCCGACGTCAGGCCGCTAATGGGGATCGCATTAAAAACAAATCTCCATCACGCGTCGCGCAATCGGCAGCATCTAGCGAGCGCCGTCGCCCCCGGACGTATAAACGCGAAGCAATCAAAACCCGACACGGCGCAGTAATCGCCCGCGCCCCACAACAGATCCGGCGGTATCGCTGAAGATCGAAATAACATTTGTACCGAAATTCATTTATCAGCGCTGATTCTCTTTCCATTCGGCGCGCCCCGGCCGAAGCTTGTTAGCGCGCGGCTCTAATGGCGCGGCCGCATTGGACGCGCGGAGCGTTTTGACATTACCCATAGCGTTTTATTTTTTTTTTTTTCGAAAAAGGGTAAACCGTCTTCCGATGTTCTGTAAGCCTGGGTTGCTTCCCCCCGTCAAGATGGCCAACTCATGTAGCTGGTGCTGTTATGGAAACTGTTACATGACAACACGACTGTCTGTTCTGCCTGTCTGTTTGTTACGTTTTCCACGTACCACTGCTTCGATTCGCAGGATTTGTTTTCTTTCTTTTGTGATATTAATCAAATACTTCGTTACTAAACTCATCTGCGTAGAGATGAATATAGCAACACTATTAACTGTGGTAGGACCACGCAATAGCTTCGGATGTTGCACGAATGGGTACGTCCATTCGGATAAGTACCACGACCTCACAGAGGGCCGGCGTGAAGTGGAAGTGTCATCCTTCTGCGATTCATCTGGTCAGTTAGGTAGCCGGGGCCAACTTTATTAAAAGGTGGCAACGCATCTGCAACTCTACGGATGTTGCAAGTGTCCATGCCCGGCGGTTATCACTTAACATTAGGTCGCATGCTACCTTATGACATAAAAAAATGGCACAGCGTCTTTGGATTAAATAGGCCAGAGGTTTAATCTGTGTTATCTGCCAATCATACATACGAGTATGTCGTTAATTACATCACACAGTTAAATCGTCTAGATCAAAGCGTGTAAGTAAAATAATCCTATAATTCAAAGCCGGTCAGAGCAAAGGGTCAATAGCTTTAAAACCTCCGTTAACGAAAACGCTGTCGCTTATGGCAGGCGTACATCTGATCGCCCCTCGGACGGCGGACTAATGTGTTTCAGGGGAATTGCATCTTTGTGGGGAGATCATCATTAATACTTGTTGGTGACGACGTTTACATTAAAATTTAATATTTGTATTAAAGCCGAGCGATTGTTATGAATACACAACTGGTCTGAAGGACAGAGAAGCGGATACTTTAAATTTGTTCAATACAGATTCAAAAATCGTTTAGTTCAGAGGTATTCATTTCTGGGTTAAGTCGTTATAATGTCTTTTTATTTTGTTTACATATTCAATTTAATCGACAAAACCATTAGATCAAGAAAATAAAAGTAATAGTATTAACTATAACTTAATTAACCAAAAAATGATATGTAAAACGAAATTTTAAAATGTTAAATAGAGACTTTTTAACAGTAAGTGGTAAGGAAACGATGTTTAGCAACACGTAAGCACCGTTATATAACAACAATATACTCATAGGGTAGTTAAATAAAATTTTATCTATACTTGCTGCGGAAACACCATATTTCTTTTAAAACTATAAAAAGCAATTATAAAAAAAATTTGTGTCCACTCAACAACCGTAAAGTATTGAATGTTACGAGCTTCTCTGTTTACAAAAAAACAGCAACTCCAGTTGGATGAACAATAAACCCGTAGAACCCTTAAATCCCCAAAAACCCCTCGGCCGTCCCCAAGCCGTGCCTCAATCGACGCGCCACGCCAACTCTTACACGATTTATTTTTTCAGCCCCAACACCAAACTCGCGCCATATTGCGACCCACCCCATCTAAATGATAATTCGAGGGCTGCTATCCCAATAAAAATTATTGCGACCGGTTTATTTTATTACACTCTATATTGTATTCAAATAACCGCAAACTCACCGCGTTTATTTTGCCGCCGACGAAACGTTTTTTCGGCGAAAATCGACCATTTTCTCTGAGGAATAGGAGTTTAGTAAAGTTAACCCTTTGGCTTTTTTATTGCTTTCCAGGACGGAATCTGGAGATCGGTTGTTTCTTCGGATACTCGGAGGTTTCGCGTCTTTACCCCGTAGTGCAATTCCCTAAACATTTGGTCCAAGGGTTTTGTTAAACTCCATCCACCATGGATTTGCATTCATTTCGTCTATTGACAAGTTTTACGGAGAAACGTAAGCGACATTCTAATACGGTCAGAAATTCGATAAGAAAGAAAGCTTAGGACGGAATTGTATCATTACTTAAATAATGTAATGCCAAGTCTTGACAATGAAAATACAAGAGACTTAAATTTCATTACATGTATGTATGTCTCTGTTAAAAACTGTTATCGTGACCTTAATAGTTTCTTTTTTCCAAAAAAACTGTTAATACCTAAAAAAAATATTCGTACACATTTCATTTACGTGAATCGATTTTTTTTGTTTGATTCTTATATAAGGATACTATTTCACGGTAAGTTTCGCAACAATGACGAAATCTTGGAGATAAAAAAGTACACCTAAAGTACACCCGCATTTTGAACATCAATTTATGGACACCATTAAGTATAAGAATGAAACCCAAAACAGCAGTGGGCAACATATTATAAACCATTGCGACATCCGTAGGAACAATTATTGTACTTAATTCAAAATTGTAGGTATATAAAATAATTTCAAGGTTTAATCAATTTGGACCGAACTTACACATTAATACGTCACCGCAATGTGGTAGTGAATAATTATAAATCGTTTTCCTATCGGGTGCCATTTTTGCATTTAAACAATGTACAGAGTGTAACAGTAATCAACCGCAAGACAAAGCTAGCCACCCCACCGTTATCTCCCTTTCAGATCGCAATCAGTGCCGCCATGTTTGACGCCATTATGAATCAAATTCCCGCCTTTTTGCTTTTTTCCCATTCGCTAGGCACCGGCATCAGATCTCACAGCCGATAAGCTCTTTATTATCCTGGATGATTTTTTAATCTACGTTCGCACTCGGGTTTCACATTAGCAAATGCATTGTGTACACATATAAAATAGCTATGTGTGTAGTATTTTTTGTTCGAGGAACAATTATAGTCTACGACAGTTGCTTAAGGGCTTCCAATGAAGTTTGTAATTAGCCTTAATCTATTTTTAATTCACTGATGATGATGACATTATCCAACTAAGGAGAAATCAAAACTTCATGTTTTTTAATAATACATGACCCTTTTCATTGTCACAATTGTTCTAATTTTAGAATATAAATAATCTGTTAGAAAAAATATGAAGCAATCTGGTAAGTTACATATTTACGACTGGGTTCAATATTCTACCTATCGGTAGATTTAGTTACTAGCGATAAGTATTTGACATTACCTACATAATGTTACTTATTATAACAAATTTTTTGCTACCTTTGTACAGGAATATTGTTTTTTTATTGCGAGATCCTAATAATTGATAATCGATGATATGTTAATGTAAAGATCTTTGATATTTCAAAGATTATTAATATAAGCAGATAATACATTAATGATAATTCTGTCCGATGGAACCGACATGTACGCGTTTGTTTAAAAGTTACTCAATAAAATAAAGAGAAAAAAAAATATGTAAAATATGATCCCCCCTTATCATATGCAATACTTAACATTTTTTATAACTATAATTATGTTTTTAAAAGATACAGGTGCAGCACAGTCGCATTTTTAAACTTTTATAAATAATTTACAAAAACAATAACATGCAATTTGTGCTGATGAATAATAGCCAAAGCCGAAAAATACAATTATGAGACTTTATTATTTATTAATAAAAGTTTGAACACATAATTTACAGATGAGGATTTTTCATCCAATTCACTATTCAACAAAATGTTTTTAACACACAGATAATTGGTAATTAGCTTTTACTGGATAAAAGAGTCACGATGGCTGTAAAACTTACGTGTGTGTTGAAATTAAAAGTATTATTAAAAAAACACTAAAATAAACCGAACGAAGCGTTCACAAATAGAACGGGCACAAACACGGAAACCGAATACAATAAAATGTGGAAAACAAACGAAACACTCCCTCTGAAAACTTATGTAATAGCAGATTCCCGAGAAAATTGGCTAGAAAAAAAAACCTTGGGAGCCGGAAGCGAGTTCCCGGTGAAGCGAAGTTAGTCCCTAAGTAGATTTTCCAATTTGAAACTCGTTACAAGAGACGCCGAGTTTCGTTTGCTCTTTTTCACTTGGACGCGACTCGGCGATTTATTGGTGAACTTCTTCATATTGCTACTGGAGACGGATGAAAGTTGTCAGCGGGAGTTATTTATTGTGGCAGAGCAATAGCGTTTTAATAACGCGACTCCTTATAATTTGTTACCACCTTTTGATAGGTCTGTAGCTAATGCCACAATAAATTAAAAATAACCTTTTAGCTCAATGCCTCCAGCATGTACTAGATTATTCTCTACTTCAATTCTCAATTTCCACAACTTCTATAAAATATATTTGATTTACCACAAGAACGAAAAATTTAAAACGTTTTTTTACTCGTAAATGTTTTTTATGTCAACAGTTATCAAGGCAGTTCAAGGTTCACCTGATGTTAAGTAATTTTTAAATTTAAATTCAAAATATCTTTATTCACATAGACGCTTGCGCATTCTTATGAAACGTTGAAACTTCACGTTGGTATGCTCATTTTTGCCACAGCAGAAACTGATGTGTGGCCCAATCACTGTAAAACAATCCATAACATGCTTGTACTATTTAATTTATAATTTTCTGAATTATAATTGATTACATCAACATTATTAGGTTAATGTTCAATAATTGATTAAATGATAATTATACAGGTACCTATATAAAATCACTTTTACATAATAAATTTTATATAAAAAAAACCTCATTTCGCAGAGTAAGCACGGTGTGAAGTTGATTATTTGAGAAGCACTAGCGCCGTAATGGCGTTACTTCCGGTGCGGTCGCCATTAGTGGCTATTTCCTGTTTACTTCCTGTAACAGTGCCACGCCGCGGCCATTTAAGTAACCTCCTCAATTTGTTTGCAATACTTCATAGATAATAAATGTAGACCTATATAAAATGTTTGTTACGAGTGATTCAAAGTATAAA